ATATTCCCATTATGCATATGTTCAGCTTTTTGTAATTGTCCCACAGTCCTTAAACATTCTGGTCTGTTTTTTTACTCTTTCTCTCTTTGCTTTTTAGTTTTTGAAGTTTCTATTGACATACCCTCAAGCACACTGATTCTTTTCTTAGCTATGTCCAGTTTGCTAATAAGCCCATCAATGCGTTTTTCACTTGTTACAGTGTTTTTGATCTCTAATCTTTTATTCATAGTTGATTAAAATTCCTGGCCTGATAATTCCTACATCCCAGCCATATCTGGTTCTGATGCTTGCTCTGTCTCTTCAAACTGTGTTTTTTTGTGTGTCTTTTTGTATGCTTTGTAATTTTTTCTTGATAGCCAGATGTGATGTACTAGGTAAAGGGAACTGCTGTAAATCGGCCTTTAGTGAGGTGGTGACCAGGCGTGGGCATTCTACAGTCTCCTGATTAGGTGTCTGTCCTTCAGGGAAGCCATGCCTCTGTACTGTGAACTTCACAAGTGTTTCTCAGGTTTTTCCTCCCCCATAAATTGGGACAGGATGGCTAGAGGGAACTGAAGTTAGGTATTTTCCTTCTCCCTCAGGTAAGGTTAGAGTGGGCTGGAATTGGCCACTTCCCTTCCTCCAGGTCAATTAGGTTCTGATGATGACCCCAGGTCAGGCTCTGTGTAACCAGTTTCTGTTAAGAAGAAGGGAGTGCTATGGTGTCTTAAAAAATGGTTCCTTTTCCCTTTCCCCTGCTGGAAGCATAAGGGAATTTTCTTCTGGCATATTAATCACCACTACCACACCAAGAAACTTAAATTCCCTTTACTTTTGTCTACCTTTTCAGTTCTCCATAACATTTATCACCTTCTAACCTGTAATATCCTTGAAATGGTTTTTGAGTTTATGGTTTATTGTCTTCCCTCATTAAAATGTAAGCACCATGTTATTTTATTAAACTGATACATTCAATCACTATTTGGATATCGTACGTGTTTAATAAGTATTTATTCAGTGCTTAGATGGTGTGGCTTTTAAGTGTATAAAAAGTTCTGACTCACATGATGAATGGATAGTCTCACTATTATTTGGTTGTTATACATTCTTATATTATTCTTTTAGTGACTAGAGTTACAACATGCGTTCTTGATGTTTCAGAGTCTAACATGAATTAGTTTTTGTCTCACTCTCCAGATAATGGAAGGATGTTAGAACACATTGATTCCATTTATCCTACTCTTGATTTTTATGTTATTGTTATCATTTATTTCAGCTTTCTAATCAAGGCCTTATCATTTTTTTTGTAAATAAATCTTCATATAAAATTATTTACATATTTTTCTTTTCATTGAATATGTCAAATATATCCCTGAGATTCCATAAAAATTAATTTTCCTTTTAACTAAAGAACAGTCATTCGTCTATTTTTAATTCAGGCCAATATATGAAAAAGTTTCTTTGATTTTGTTTGAATATGCCTTTATTTCACCTTCATGGATAGTTTTACTTGGTGTAAAATTCTAGTTGGATATTATTATTTTTTTCAACACTTCAAAGTTGTTCTATTTCTTCTACTTTCTTTTATTTGTGATAGGAACTCAAATTGTTTTATTATTGTTCCTTTGAAAGTAATTTTTTTTTTTTTTTACTGAATGCATTTCTTTTTTCTTTGGTTATTGGCAGTTTGAATATGATGTACCTCAGTGTGTTTTCTTTATAGTATATTTTATCATGCTGGGACTTGGTTGTACTTCTTGTCTACAACATTATTTCTTTCTTCCTTTTTGGAAAATCTTCACTATTGCCATTTTTTTTCTCTCTTGGCACTGTCATCACACATTTTAGGTCTTTTCACTGTACTATGTATTTCTCTTTCATATTTCTCATGATTTTTCTCTTCATGCTTCATTCTACATGTTTGCTTCTAACCTATTTTTATCTCCAGTAAATATTGTCTCTATTCCAGTTTGAAGAAGTCAATAGTTTGATTTTATGTATGATCTGTTTTAATTTCCCATTGGAAGTCAAGGGAGATACTGGTTAGGCAGTTGAATATCTGATTCTGAGATTTAAAACAAGAAGAGAAAAGAAAGATAAGTTTGGGAGTCTTAGCATAGAAATGATATTTAAAACTACGGGACTAGATGAACTTTTTTAGGAAATGAAGGGAAAAAAAGAGGCTCAGAAACTGATCACTGGCATTTTCCAACATTTAGAAATTAGAACTATGAGGAAAAAATGGAAAATTAAACTAAGAAAGATGAGAATCAGGAGAGTGTTGTGTTAAGAAGCCACCTAAGCTTGCCCTGAAGAATAATCTGGTACAAATAGAATATTCGATCTGTGTCTTTGGTTTAAATGACTTAACTTGAATGTACATTTTGTTTGATTTTGCATTTGGCAGAGAGATTCTGAAATACGCTGCAAGACTAAGGGGCTCATTGAATGTTAGAATTGAAAGACTTTGGCTTCTCTGGTTCTCAGTTTTTTTACTTTACCTAGATTTGGTATGATAAGTAGAAATATTTTCTCTCAATCAGCTGACTTGAATTTTCTGCTGTTCGTGCCTACAGTTGCACGCATACCTAGCATCAAAACTTCTCTGTTTTAGAATCTTTGGATTAGACAAGGCTGGGAAAATAAAGTAATATGCATTTTGACAGTCAGACACTATTGTTTTCACACAATAGTCTGAATTGGTTGAGATCATAGATGGTTATATATAATTCATCCTCATGAAATTTTTTCATTATCTAAATTTATGCTGAAATGATAGAGGCACACAGGAGTTTTGGAGAAGATGCTTTGTTTCCATCTTCTTTGAGTAATAATGAATACAAGTATAAAAGACCTGAAATGATTTTCTATGTTTAGAAAATATTAAATCTTGAAACAATTTACTACTAAGGTATAGTTTTTCTGATTAATCCTAAAATCTGCCCCAGCTCCATTGCCTCTGAGACCACAGGAGGTTAGCAAATTTTTATTTCATTAATTTTCTGTTAACCAAAATCCTTTTCAAGCTTTCTTATCAGGAGAAAATGCTGTTAGACTACTGTCAATACTTCTTTTGCTGCACACTTAAATAATACTTTGGTGTAATATGCTGTTGGAATCGTTAGGATTATTTTAAGGTCCAAAGTGAATGCCTCCCTTCCCTCATTTTTCCCTTCCTTCCTTCCTTCCTTCCTTTCTTCCTTTCTTTCTTCCTTTCTTTCTTTCTTTCTTTCTTTCTTTCTTTCTCTTTGTATTTATTTTTATCTATGTT